CATTTGAGTCAGAGGGGGCCATCCAGGAAGGAACACGGTTGGGTTGGAGGAGGCAGAGAGTTCTCAACTTCCAGCCAGCAAGGACCCAAGGACTTCGGTCCTGTACCCACAGAGAACTGAGTTTTGCTAACAAGCTGAATGGGCTTAGAGCTGAATGAAAGGCAGGCTGGCTGAGGCCTTTATGTCAACACTGTGAAACCCTGAGCAAGGTGCCTGGCTAAGTTCAATTCTCACCTGCACAGGTGATCTAATGAAGAGGGGTTTAAACTCCTCCAAGTTTTGTTTGTTTTATTTATTTATTTATTATTTTCCTCAGCTTATCTGCAAATTCATAGCCTGCACGGGTGATCTAATGAAGAGGGGTTTAAACTCCTCCAAGTATCTATCTATCTATCTATCTATCTATCTATCTATCTATCTTTTTCCTCAGCCCTTCTGCAAATTCATAGCCTAAGAATCAAAGCCTGGTACATTGTAGGTCTTTGTAAATGTTCAACAAATCTTAAGAAAACATAGCTTTAAAAAGAAAACATAGGTTTGTTGATTCCCCATGGGAAGCCTTACCCTCTCTGAGGAATGAATGGGACGTGGGAGTGGAGAGGGGGAGGAGAGGAGGGAAGGGGAACTGTGGTTGGTATGTAAAATGAATAAAAAAAATTTAAAAAGTAACTTGGTTATTTCTAATAAAAAAGCAAAAAAAAAGAATACATAGACAGGTATTTTTCTTGACATTTGAGGTAGGCAGAAGTTTTTATAAAACTTCTAGCCATAAAGATTGTTCAGTTTAGGCTGGGTGGATGTGGTGCACACTTTTAATCCCAGCACTTGGGAGGCAGAGGCAGGTGGAGCTCTGTGAGTTTCAGGCCAGCCTGCTCTATAGATCTAGTTCCAGAACAGCCAGGACTACACAGAAAAACCCTGTCTCAAAACAAAACAAAACAAATCGTTCAGTTTTATTGTATCATCTTAAATGAAGAAATAGTGTTAACCAAAAAGACCAAGCTGGTGTATAGCTCATTTTGCTCATTTTGTGTGCCCACCATGTACCGGACACTGTGTTTAATCCTTAGCACAGTTTCTCCCCAAAGGAAGACTATTTGGGAAGTAAAAATGCATACCAAGGTTGGCATTATGTATTTGCAGTAAGTCTGTTCATAAAGAACTTGCACCCAGCATATATTAAGAATTCCAGGGCCTGGAGAGATGGCTCGGCAGTTAAGAGCACTGGCTGCTCTTCCTGAGGTCCTGAGTTTCAATTCCCAGCAACCATGTGGTGGCTCACAACCATCTGTAAGGTGATCTGGTGTCCTCTTCTGGCCTGCAGGGATACATGCAGACAGAACACTTATTTATAAATAAATAAAAAGTTAATAAAAAAAAGAATTCCTCCTGTAGCTCTAAAAAAAAGAGCATATAACTCAGAGACAGAAAACTCAGATACTTTGCAGAGATGTATCTGCTAGACCATTAGCATAAAGGACACTCAAACCACAATAATTCTAAATACTTGCTTAGTGTTCAGATCTGAACTGAAAACAAAATACAATGAGATAATATTTATTACCTTTCTATTAGAAAAGCTAAAGTTACAAACAGAAACAAGGGACTGGAGAGATGGCACAGCAGTTAAGAGTATTGGCTGCTCATCCAGAGGATTCAGGTTCCGTTTCCAGCATCCGCATGGTGGCTCACACCATCTGGAACTCCAGTTCCGGAGGATCTTACTCTTTTCTGGCCTCTGGGAGCACCAGGCATGCATGTGGTGCACAGACATAGATACAGACAGAATATCCATGATCCATATCCATACACATAAAAATAAATATACTTCAAAGACAAAACCAATTGGGCTGCTTCAATGTCTAAAACAACGGAACTGTACTTAAACTGTCTCGTGGTTCTGGAGGCCAGGAACATGGAATTGGAGCTAGTTCTCTTTGACGGTTGAGGGAGACTCATTCCTTGCCTCTTCTGAGTTTCTGCTGAATGCTGTGTTCCTTGAAGTATGACTGCATTGTGCTGGTTCAGCCTGTTCCCACACATCCTTCCTGATGTGTTTTCTAGTGTTGGGGAAGGAACCTAGGTTCCCACTGGTATCTCACCACTGTGTCATGTGCCCAGCTCTTCTGCTTGTGTTTTTGTGACCTAATTTTTTTTCTTAAGTTTTCTTTTTCATTAAGGTTTCTTCTTATCTTTCTGGTACAAATTAATCTTTGAATTGAAATAGGCCAGTTTAAAAAATTCCTGGTGACTAATGCCAGATTGCTTCCTAGAAAGGTAGGGCATTAGAACTGGTCTAAAAGAAAAAAGGAAAAATCCTATTTTTCTAATTTGAAAGTCTACATACACAGAGACTATAAAGGAACCAGAGTTTCATGGCTGGAACAGTAGCTCAGTGGATAAGAGCAACTGGCTGCTCTTCCAAAGGACCCACGTTTGATTCCCAGCACCTCAATGAATGCTTGCAACCAAATGTAACTCCAGTTCCTAGGAGATTCAATGCCCTCTGCTGGCCTCAGTGGGTACCAGCCATGCATGTGGTACACACACACACACACACACACACACACACACACACACACGCAGGCAAAACACCCATATACATAAATTTTTTTTTAAGAAATTAGATTTTTTTTCTGATGTGCTGATATACGCCTTTAATTCCAGCACTTGGGAGGCAGAGGCAGAAAGATCTCTGTGAGTTCAAGGCCAGCCTGGTCTACATAGTAAGTTCTGAGACAGCCAGGATTACATAGAGAGACTCTGTCTTAAATAAATAAATATAAAATTAAAAAAATTAGAATTTCATCAGGAAATACCATTTTGCCAGTTAGGGTAGATCACAGCCTGGTACCAAAGGAGGAACTGACTAGAAAAGCTCGTAGTTTGGATATCTTTAACTCATAGCTAAATCTGTGTGTTATTCCTGGCTTTTGTTCCATCATTCCTATAGGGGCAGGTAGAGAGAAGGTGGAAGTTTTTCTCTCCCCAGTTCTGGCCCAAACTAAATAAATCAATTTTCTTTTACCAGTTCCTGCTTCCTGAATTTTTTAGAATGGCTAGCAAGGGACATAAGAATTCAGTGATGTAAAAGGATTATTTTATTGCATGTTTGTATTTTTTTAGTGAACTTGAGCATGTTTCCTATGTTTGTTCAACATTAATATCTCTTCTGCTCTAAGTTATCCTTTCATTTATTTTACCCAATGTCGAATTAAGTTTTTGGCATGGTCCATATCAGTTTGTACATATTAAGGATATCAGTCCTGAGCAGAGGGTGTAGCTCAGTGGTAGAATGCTTATTTAGCAGGTGTTAGGCCCCAGGTTTGTCCCAAGAGAGGTGGGGATGAGAACAATCTGCGGTTATCCTATTTGTTTCAAATATTACCTCTAGTTTTTCCCTTGAATTTTAGCAAATGACATACTTGGAAAGAGATCATTTTTTAAATATAATGCTAACCGCTGTTTGTCGAGTATTATCATGTGCTGTGTCTTGAATAAACGTTTTTTGTGTGGCTTGGGGCTGGAGAGATTGCTCAGCAGTTAAGTCTGCTGCCCGTTCTTCCAGAAGGCTGGAGCTCACTTCCAGCACCTGCCTTGGGTGGCCCACAATGGCCTGTCATTGCAGCTTCAGGGGACACAAGGGGACACAGTGCCCTCTTCTGACTTTTGAAAGCATTATACTCACATGCATACACACACATGTATATATACACACATGTGAACACATGGACACACAAATAAAAACAATCCAAAAAACTTTACATGTGGATTATTACATTTAATATTGGCCATAGCCTTGGTGGAATGCAATGTTTCCCCCTTGTTGTCAATGAAGAATTATACATTTTAGGTCATTTAGCCAATAGCTGGGCTATGAATGAGCAAACAAACTCATGTTATAGAACCATTATTTAGAGTACTAAAATAGGCCTGCTTTCTTCCTATAAAGAGCCTTAGGCAAGCCAATTTTATTACCACTTTAATGTTTTGAGTAGGCAATGCAGTCATTGCAAAACGATCAGAAGGAATAGTCCTAGCTCTCCCTGACCCCTCTCTTCCCCTTCCTACTCTTTACCCCATTCTCTGCTTCTGCTCCGATCCTTGATGGTGCCTTGTGATACACCCACACTTTTTGTTTGTAGATCCAAGTAAACATGATTATGATAGCTGACTTTTCTTCCCGCTTAGGTCATACAAAACGTTAACATTGTTTCCGTTCACTTACTTTTGCAAGACTTGACTGCTGCTTTGGTATAAAGTCTGTTAGAGGGAAGATACCTGGATAATTTAACTTGCTTTTATCTTTGAAGAGATTTTTTTTTCATGCTGAGTGTTCAGTTTGTTTCAGTAGAAATTTTGTATTGAAATGGACTAGAGGCCAAACCACAGCTTTGCCAAGGCTTATATAACTAACAGCAGCTGAGCCTTCAGCCATCACCGTGTGCTGTGAGGAACGAAACCAGAGAGCAGGCAGTGCAGAGAGGTCTTGAGCAGTAGTTAGTTCTGGAGTCTTGGGAGCGCTCTAACAAAAGGTGTGTGTAGTGTCCCGTTTGTTTTTCATTGAGCTTTGAGAGCTGCAACAGAAGGGGTTGTGTGTAGTGTCCTGTTTGTTTTGTTTTTCATTCAGGTGCTAGTTCTTTATGACTTTTCGTTTTCCCATTTCTGTATTACCATATATTAACTGCACAGCGTAACGAGTTTTATGATGATATTTCCATGCATGTATGTAATGCATACTGATCCTATTATTCTCCCATGTTCATCCATCATCACCCCCCCCACACACACACACACAAACACATACACACCCTGCTACCCTTCTGCTTTCCAAACACATGTGACATACTTCTCCTCTTAGTGCTCCTTGAGGGAGAAGTAAAGGACAAGAGCTGGGAGAAGCATCTGCGTCGCCACCAAGTAGACTCTCTAGAGAGGACCTGTACCCCTCCTGAAGTCACTCCCTGAACACTCTTGTGTCTTGCCTTTCTTCACCGTAGGTACTGGCGGAGGACACTGGGTATGCAAGTCCGCTATGTGCACCATGAGGACTATCAGTTCTGTTACTCCTTCCGGGGCAGGCCAGGACACAAACCGTCCATCCTCATGCTGCATGGTTTCTCTGCACACAAGGATATGTGGCTCAGCGTGGTCAAGGTACACTCCCAGACTCTTCTGTCTTAAAAGGAAAGGGGTGGGAGCACAGTTCAAATTCATCTTAAAATTAACAAAGTACTGTGTTACAGAATTAACTGAGTAGTATTTTTTGTTTTGTTTTTTTCGAGACAGGGTTTCTCTGTAGCTCTGGTGCCTGTCCTGGAACTAGCTCTTGTAGACCAGGCTGGCCTCGAACTCACAGAGATCTGCCTGCCTCTGCCTCCCGAGTGCTGGGATTAAAGGTGTGAGCCACCACCGCCCGGCCTGATTGAATAGTATTTTAAAAACTGTCTTTGGAATCTTCTCACCATGGAGATATTTTTAGGCAGGGGGAGGGGTGGCGGTGTTAGAACGCTCCATCTCAGGACTGCCGTGACATGATGCTCAAGCCTGAGCCTTTCCCAAGTGTTTGTTCTTACGCATTCCTTTCCTTTCCCTGCCTGCCCCCAAACTCCTCATCCTTCTGCTATTTGTTCTTTTTTCTTTCCTTAATCATTTAGAGAGATGGTCTTGATCTGGCAGCTTTTCAGAATCCTTTTCCAAGTCATTTTTGTGCTGTTGACTTGCGTTGCCTCTCACTGTATTTTGGGAGAGTGACTAGCTAGCTGGTGGAGGGTGGGACTGAGGCTGGCATTTGTCTCGAGAAAGCAGCATCCTACTTCAAATAGGACAACTTCCAAGAGATCATAAGTGTCACTAGAAGGGAAAGCGCATGTGCCATTGGGTTACTTGTGCTCTTTCCAGATGCCACCATGAGGACAGCCATCTTCAAGCCTTTAATTCTTTTTGTCCCTCCTTCATTAAACATCCTTGGTATGTTTTCAGACTCATGGCTAAAAGTCAGTGCATCTTTTAAACAGAGGAAAGGTGATTTGGGAGAATAATCATCTCAAGAATTAGGTCTTGATGAAGAAATAAAAGAAAGTTGAAACCAGCCTTATGGCTTTGGGGAAAAGCATTGCTCCTTTGACTCTGGTCTCTGGGAACTGCTCAAGGCTCTGGGAACCATCTCTCCTGGTTCCAAGACAAATAGCCACGTGGCTGGAGGAAGTATGGCATGGGAAGGAAAAGAAGTAGCACTGAGCAAACAGTATTAAGAAGTTTTAAGATGTTGGCTCAGAGGGAAAAGCACTTGCCATGCAAGCCTGGTAAACTGAGTTTGATCTCTGGAACCCACATAAAGGTGGAAGGAGAGAATTGATACTTAAAACATAATGGCAGATATTTAAAAAAATTAAGTGCAAGATGTAAGCCTGCTAGCCTGAGTTTTGCATCCTGTCTCCAGTCACCCACTGAGCCTCTCTTCATCTGTGTGCCATTCCTGAGTTCCTCTCCTCCATATGAGGCTCTGTTGATACTTATTCACATATTTCACGGAAGACATGTGGAGGATCAGAAACATAGTTTCAGTGACTCTCTGGGTCACTGGGTAGAGGGCAGCTGCTACCTCACCAGAGAAATGGGCAGATGTGTTTTTCTAGATCACATACTGACTGTCTGGGTCTTCAGTTCCTTCCGAAGAACCTGCACTTGGTCTGCGTGGACATGCCTGGCCATGAAGGTACCACCCGCTCCTCCCTGGATGACCTGTCCATAGATGGGCAAGTTAAGAGGGTACACCAGGTAAGCCAGAGGCTTTACTTGAACTGCCTAGATTGTATCTTCTCACATATGGAAAGCAGGCAAGAGTTGCACACTGGCTCATAGCCACACTGTGGCACATTCTGTCTCCAAGCATTGCAAACAAATTGGTAGCCTAGGGATATCTTTGATCCGTTCAGGAGAGCCTGAACTCGTTACAGATCTATTTCCTTTAAGCCTATTGTACTTTTTTGTTTTATTTTTTGAAATAGGGTGTCATGTAGTGGAAGGTTGCCTTGAACTTCTGATTTTCCTGCCTCCACCTCCCAAGAGCAATGATTACAGCAATGTGCTACCAGGAGTGTTATCTGTGGTGCTGAGAATCAAGTACAAATCAAGGAGTTCGTGCATGCTAACCAAGCACTCTACCCACGGGGTTACATCCCTTGCGATTCGTACATGAAGAAATGTAATCTGGGCAGTTTCTCAGCCCTCTGAAAAGGCATTTAGAGTTCCCCTGTGGAGGTCTATTTTTCCGCTTGTTTGTTAGGGGTAGAATCTTTGCATTTTGCTGTATTTTAGTATCTATCTCTGGCTCTCTCTTAAGGTTATGATTACCCATGAGCCCTTTCTTAACAGAATAGTTTGTTTCAGGTTCACATTGATTTTTTTTTTCAAAATAAGGATATTTAGTTGATAATTTCTGCCTCCACTATTAAACTATATATTTTAACTAGGGCTTATTGTCTGGCTCTTTGCTGTATCCTCAGCAGCTAACCATAGTTCCTTGTAAATAACAAATACCCAGTAATATTTTTCCAGTGAGGGACAAGTGTATAGATTGTTGATTGGACAGATGTCTAGTCAGAGAGGGCTTCAAATGAAGCAGGAGCCATCAAACTATGGCTCCAGAGCTGCCACCTACTTTTGCTTACTTAGGTATGTATTGTCTCTGGCAGCCTTTGTGACCCAGCAGCTGAGCTGAGTAGGAACAACAGAGACCAGATGAACCATAGGAAAAAAGCACTGCTGCCTTGACCTTTTACAGAACAGTTTATGACTTAATAAGGGGACCCTTGTTGTTTGATTTTATATTTATAAATGACCCTACAGCCATGTGCGCCCTGTAAAGCAAACTATAAATCCGTTACAGTACTAGATACTGGGTGTGATCATGTCGGCGCCGGCGGAGTGTTCAGTTTTACTGAGGGGAGGCGTCTCTGCTCTGCAGTCGTCACTGACGTCTCAGCCGTAACCATGCTTCCTTTTCATTTCTCCTCCTAGTTTGTAGAGTGCCTTAAGCTGAACAAAAAGCCCTTTCACCTGATAGGCACCTCCATGGGTGGCCACGTGGCTGGAGTATACGCTGCTCAGTACCCATCTGATGTCTGCAGCCTGTGTCTTGTGTGCCCTGCTGGTGAGTGACGTGACCAGAGCAACCTCACCGGTGACTTGAACTTAAAGAATCATCCACACAGCTTCTGCTGTGGCTCCTTTAAAAATTTATCCTTCTGATATAGACCCCAGAAATAGGCATTGCTTGTGTAATGAGAACCATAGCCAGGCTGAATTAACTGGAGCCAGCCCTGCTCCACAGAGAAGGGGGGAGGGAGTGGAAATTTAAGATTGATTGTTTACATGTGAAAAGGTGGAAACAAGCCCGGTGGTGGCGCACACCTTTAATCTCAGCGCTCTGGAGGCAGAGGCAGGTGGATCTCTGTGAGTTTGAGGCCAGCCTGGTCTACAAGAGCTAGTTCCAGGACAGGGACCAAAGCTACAGAGAAATCCTTTCTTGAAAAAAAAAAGAAAAGAAGAAGAAGAAGAAGAAGAAGAAGAAGAAGAAGAGAGGAAGGAAGGAAGGAAGGAAGGAAGGAAGGAAGGAAAAGGGAAATAAGTTAGGATCACATCCTACCTACATTTTTCTTTATATGATTTTAATTTTTTTAAAACTTTTATATTTTATAAAAAAGTTATTATTTATATTATTTTTTTAAAGATTTATTTATTTATACAGTATCCTGCCTGTAGGCCAGACGAGAGCACCATATCTCATTATAGGTGGTTGTGAGCCACCATGTGGTTGCTGGGAATTGAACTCAAGACCTCTGGAAGAGCAGTCAGTTCTCTTAACCGCTGAGCCATCTCTCTAGCCCTATATTATTTTTTTAAACAATCTTTTCTCATTTTACACACCAATCTTAGTTCCCACTCCCTCTTTTCCTCCCACTCTCCTCACTTTCCCCCACCCCACCCACCTCAGAGAGGGTAAGGCTTCCTATGGGGAGTCACCAAAGTCTAGCCCATCACTTTGAGGCAGGACCAAGGCCCTTTTCCCCATATCTAGGCTGAGCGAGGCATCCCTTCAAAGAGAATGGACTTCAAAAAGCCAGTTCAAGCACTAGGGATAAATCCTGGCCCCACTGCCAGTGGCCCCACTGGAATTCTTTTAAATTTACGGAATGTTGACAAGGTACTGCAGAATCCCATAGCCCTTTACCCAGTTCTGTCTGTTGTGAACAGTCCACATCAATCACACAGTGACTGTGTCACAACCAGGGAGTCAAGCTTGGTGCCCGACAATTAACTGAATCCCAAGCTTTATTTGAATTCGATTTCATTTTTCCAACCATGTTGTTTTTGTGTATCAGAGTCCAGTATAGGATACCACAAGATATTAAACCTAAGAATAATTAAAAAATATATATATATATACACACATATATATATATATATATATATACGACTTTGGGGGGCAGTGACAATATAAATTAAAAGAGAAAAGATGTAAAGGCTAACGGAAAAAAAGGAATGTCATTATTTGATCATCTGACAGGATCTGACTTTTTTATGATGCTGAATGTCAAATCCAGGGTTAGTCCTACAGGCTAAGCAAGTACTCTGCTACTGAGCTCCGTACCCACATCTTAAGTTAGTTTGTTTCTAATAGAGATGTCATCTTAGAACAACTTCTAAAGGATATTACAGGAAGTTATGAGGCCATCTTTGAAAGCTTTTAAGACCACCTGATGAAATTGCCTGTGCTCTCAAAGGACATATTCCATGATTAAAATGAAAGAGGAGTCTCTGTGAAACAGGATTGGATCTGAACAATTCTGGGCAGGTTGTGTGAATCCTCGCCCATCCCCCAAGTTAGGCTCTTGCTACGCTGGCTTTAATTCGCTGTGTATGTAGCTTAGGCTGGCTTCAAACTTGCATTCCTCTTGTCTCAGACTCCTGTGTGGCGAAGATTACAGGAGCACACCATCTCAGCAGGCTTTTCTGGACATAGATTTATAATGTGTGGTTTTCTTTGGGGGTAGGAGAAAAAAATGATGCTTAGTGTCTTCTTTGGTCCACTTTGTTGATGTGGGATCTCTTTCTGAACCTGGAACTTGCCAGTTATGGCTAGTCTTGCTAGCAAGCTGGCTACAGGCTCCCCTGTTTTTATCTCCGAGGGTTGAGATTGCAGGTGGCTATACAGCTTCTACAGGGGGTTCTAAATGCCCATCCTCATATTTACGCAACAAGAGCTTCTTATCCACTGAGCCATTTCCCTGACCGTAATATGTTGGTTTCTATAGGATGGCTGGTATTAAAGATGCAACTGCCTGTCTGTTTTTAACATAAGGTCTCATGTAGTCAAGGCTGGTCTTAAACTCCCAATCTTTCCACGCCTACCTCCCAAATTCTGAGTTTCTAGGCCATGCCTAGCTTTTCCCCTGAAATCTAGTTCTTCATCTATGTTAAACCAAGAAATGGCTCTGTGTTGGTAGAAACAGCTCTTTCCCTGCTACATGATGCTTAGCTATCAGAGTCTCCTGTGTCACGTGACAGCGAGCAGTCTCAAAAGGAGTCTCCCCTCTGCTGATGTTCTCTGGAGGAAAAGAGCCTATGCGCTGCACTTACATTCCCTCGTGTCTTATGCATTGGCCACAAAGGGGAGGGCATCCAGGTCAGGGGAGGGAGCTACCGGTCATGGCAGCCCTGTGCTTTCTTTCCATCATACGGGTCCTTCAAGCTCCTTAAAGTAATTAATGCAGGCTGAAAGCAGTGCAAGTGAGACACCATCTAGTCTTCCCACACTCCATCCCTGGACAGTTCGATGAAATGCAGATTCTGATGCGAGAGGCTTGGGGACAGCCTGAGTTTCTGCATGCCATGGTGTGTGCAATCAGTCCTAAAACATAACGGTGTTGCTTTAATCTGTGCTAGCTTAGAATTTATCATGTAGCTACATATGCTGGCCCTGAACTTGTGATTCTCCTGTTTCCTCCTCTTGAGGCATGCTTAACTCCCACCCTAAAATATCTAGGATGATGCATTTTTTCCAGTGTTTCTTGGAATATGATTTTTACTTTGAGCAAGGGTGCTAGTATCAATTAAAAATGATCTTCTAACCAGGTAGTGATGGTGCACATCTTTAAACCCAGCACTCAGGAGGCAGAGGCAGGCGGATCTTTGAGTTCGAGGCCAGCCTGGTCTACAAAGTAAGTTCCAAAGATGGCCAGAACAACACAGAGAAACCTGTCTCAAAAGAAGAAGAAGAAGAAGAAGAAGAAGAAGAAGAAGAAGAAGAAGAAGAAGAAATAAAGAAGAAGAAATAAAGAAAGAAAGAAAAACAGAAGGATCTCCTAGAGAAAGAAACTTGACATGTTAACCTGAGTTTGCCACTGAACATGTCCTGCACACAGGCACATAATACATCTGAGAGGTGTGTCATCTGGCTCTTTTGTTTTGCATCCCAGGCTTGCAGTACTCAACTGACAATCAGTTTGTACAACGGCTCAAAGAGCTGCAGGACTCAGCTGCCATTCACAAAATTCCTTTGATCCCGTCTACCCCAGAAGAGATGAGTGAGATGCTCCAGCTCTGCTCCTATGTCCGGTTCAAGGTGCCCCAGCAGGTATGTGTGTCACAGCCACACCCTTGTCCTCCACGCGGCCTCCCCAGCGTGTCCTCTGGCATCTACTGACTCCATTCTGTCTGCTCCAATTGTTCAGCATGTAGCTCACCAGATGCCTGTGATATGTCAGACACCACGCTGAACACTATGGTAAATGTGTACACAGGGAATTTTCCTGGGCAGATGTAGTCCAGTGTGGGAAGCAGACAACTAATAGACAAAAATTTACAAATTGAAACCAATTTTAGAGGTGAAGTGAAGGTGGTGTAAGTATTTAAAATGGGGAGATAGGGATAGCTTGATAAAGTAATTTGAGGGGCCATGTGAGGAGTGGAAAAAACATACACAGATTCATGGCCATGGAAGAAAGCAAGTGGCTGAAGCCTAGAGAGTGAAGGAGAAAGGAGCTGGAAAGAGAGTCAGGGGCTAAATCACATTCTCCATTTTAAAAAATTAGAAGACTCTTAGACTTGTACATTTAAAAAGAATATTTTGAATGAATCCAAAGGGCTTTTTATCTATGAGGGTCATATTTGTTGGTGCTGAAACTCAAAAAATTTTAAAACACAAAGATAGACATTTGCCATAAGAGATGATAGCTTGTTACATAGGCACCAAATAATAGTGTGCTTTTAAGAGAATGTGGGTGAAAGGCAATGACGTTGAGTGACATTGAGTATGAGCACAGTGTGACCTCGTGGTCTCCTAAGAGCTGCTCTGAAAAAATCTTGTAGTTTGTGGGAATGAGTCTCTTTTTTCTAAGCGTAGTAGGAGAGCCACTGAAGGACTGTAGGGGACACAAATAAGAACAGAGGCTACTTAGAGTATGCTGTGGCTTAGAGATGATTGTATGGACTGGGTTGCAGCACTGGCTGAGATGGATTGTGAGAAAAAATGGACAGGACTTAGGGTGGGTCGGAAGTGGTGGTGAGAAAGAATGGACTGGACTTAGGGTGGGTCGGAAGTGGTGGTGAGAAAGAATGGACTGGACTTAGGGTGGGTCGGAAGTGGTGGTGAGAAAGAATGGACTGGACTTAGGGTGGGTTGGAAGTGGTGGTGAGAAAGAATGGACAGGACTTAGGGCGGGTCGGAAGTGGTGGTGAGAAAGAATGGACAGGACTTAGGGTGGGTTGGAAGTGGTGGTGAGAAAGAATGGACTGGACTTAGGGTGGGTCGGAAGTGGTGGTGAGAAAGAATGGACTGGACTTAGGGTGGGTTGGAAGTGGTGGTGAGAAAGAATGGACTGGACTTAGGGTGGGTTGGAAGTGGTGGTGAGAAAGAATGGACTGGACTTAGGGCTGGTTGGAAGTGGTGGTGAGAAAGAATGGACTGGACTTAGGGTGGGTTGGAAGTGGTGGTGAGAAAGAATGGACTGGACTTAGGGTGGGTCGGAAGTGGTGGTGAGAAAGAATGGACTGGACTTAGGGTGGGTCGGAAGTGGTGGTGAGAAAGAATGGACTGGACTTAGGGCGGGTTGGAAGTGGTGGTGAGAAAGAATGGACTGGACTTAGGGTGGGTTGGAAGTGGTGGTGAGAAAGAATGGACTGGACTTAGGGTGGGTTGGAAGTGGTGGTGAGAAAGAATGGACTGGACTTAGGGTGGGTTGGAAGTGGTGGTGAGAAAGAATGGACTGGACTTAGGGCTGGTTGGAAGTGGTGGTGAGAAAGAATGGACTGGACTTAGGGTGGGTTGGAAGTGGTGGTGAGAAAGAAAAGTGAGCAGTGACTTCCAGTTTTACCCAGGCTGAATGGTAAAGTAGCATTTTCTGAGCAAGGAAAGGAGAAGAGGAAGTTCAGGTTTGGGACATATGCTGAGTTCCATTTTGGATATATCAAGCTCAGATTGCTTTTGAGGCCTCCAAGGGATGTGTCAGACAGGCAGTTGGATATTTAAGTGGTGCCAAGGGAAGTCCAGGCTAAATGTAAAGCTGGAGGCAGAGGAAGATATTGAGGGCCGTGTGTCTGAACAAGGTCATTTGAGGAAAAGGAACAGAGAGGAAAATCCACAGCTGAGACCTTATAAACCCAGATTATCTCCGGTGTCTTAAACAATGAACCCTGCCTCAGGGTGAGGTGAGGTCCTCCTAGGCTGTGAGAATGGATGCTGTGCAGACTTTGTGACCATGACTTAGTTAATAAGGGCAGCACACTTCTGGGGAAGCATCCCAATTCTGTGTCTGTGGTGTAATCTGTCCTCGATATCTTTTTAGTTCTGAAGTGGCACTATCCTCCTCTAGCTATGATACCTTTAGAATATTGTTTCCATGCTTTCAGCTGTCAGGGATGAGAAAACACTGGGAGAAAATACATGTTGGCTTCAGAAGCCTCTCTTTCCCAGGAGGGTAGAGACATGTGCCAGTGAGTCCACTAGGCCATCTTCAGGTTGTGTTTGTTCACAGGAGCTCTGTCCTGTATAAGACCAGGCCTATCTATCTCTATCCTTTAGCAGCGTACTCCCATGAAGAAGGTCCCACTTATATAGATTGCATAGGTGGTGGATATAGTATAGGATGCCTTAGTATCAGAGAAAGTCAGTGGATATGTAGGTACTGGATAGAGAGATGTATGAGTTAATGCATTTGTTTGCTTATATGTCTTAAGGCTGCAGGATAAAACGGTGAGTGGATGGTTGTTGATTGGTTGGTTGTTTGGTTGAATGGGATGATGGATGGATAATGTATGGGTGGAGAAAGGATGGATAAGCAAATACAGACATGAATACAGGATTCCGGGAAACAAGATGAATGGATGAATTGAACAGTCAATTAAGCCAGTGGTCCTCAACCTATGGGTTGCAACCCATTTGGGGGTTGAACAACCATTTCACAGAGGTCACCTAAGACCATAGGAAATATGAGATATTTACATTACAGTTCATAACAGTAGCAAAATTATGGTTATGAAGTAGCAATGAAAATAATTTTATGGTTGGGGGGTCACTACAATATGAGGAACAGTGTTAAAGGGTCACAGCATTAAGGTTGTGAAGCACTGAATTAAGCAGAGTTGGAGAAGCAAGAAGAAATGTCTGTCATGGAACACAGTGTTATTAAATAACAGTCATTTCCCTCACCTCTGTGCTCCTACACAGAACCTCTGTGATTCTAGCTATGCTTTAGAGAGCTGGTTTAGTCCAAAGCAGCCGTGGTTTAATATATTAGTGAGCTTTCTATCATGGCGGGAAAATACCCGAGAGCATCATGGGTTCAGAGGTCACTTTGGTGAGGCAGGACGTCATGGCAGGAAGCATGCAGTACAGCAGAACCGCTCGTCTCACGGTGGACGGGAAGCAGACAGGGATGGAGCCAGGGTTCCAATACATCATTCAAAAGCATATCACCAATGACCTCTCCAAGTAGGTTTCACCTCCTAAAGCCCACCTCCCAGTGGCACTACAGGCTGAAGACCAAGCATTTTTAGTGTGTGGCCTTTTGAGGAATATAACACTAGTCTTCCCAACTTTGGTCTGCATAAGACTCCTGAGAAGGTGTGGTGAAGGAGTCTGGACCTGTTCCCTCATGGATGAGAGGACTGACAGCTACCTCTGTGAGCCCTCTGCTTTGACTTTGAGTCCTGAGGCAAGGAACTTCTTTACAGATGGCCATGGCCACCTATTTGGGTTAGTAGCCCAAGGCTTGGAGATCTGGCCTGTCTATATTTGCTCGGTGCATGCTAGGCTAGCGCTCTGTCAACTGAGCTATGTATGTCCCCAGCTCCATCATTGTTTATAGGATCATCAGTCCTTATGGTTCAATTTTGTTCTGCATTTGAATAGTATTGCCTAATGATCTGATATTTTGTTTACCCAAATTTTTGTCTTGAATTAAACCAAGAGTTTCTCAAGCTGCCATGCTAGTGTCTTTAACATGGTGTGCAGACCTCTGGCTTTGCAGCATTTCCCAAGTTCCTCCCTAGTTTTTAATTATTACTGTTTTTTAATGTGAAAGGTGTTTTGCCTGTATATTTGCGCACCACATGGATGAAGAGCCTATAGAGGCCGGAAGAGGGCATCAGAGCCCTGGAACTGGAGATACAGATTGTTGTGAGCCGCCTTGTCTGTGCTGAGAATCAAACCAGGTCATCCAGAGCAGCAAGTGTTGTGACTGGGCTGTCTCTCCAGCTCAGTTTGTTTTTTTTTAAAGCCTCCCAATTATATTCTGCGTTCTGAGGGTTCACAAGCCCAGCCCTAGGCAGTGCGGGAAAGTGCTGAGCTTTCTTTCCTGTGCTGCTCCAGAGCCATAAGAGGCTGGAGGAAGTGAGACTTCTCTTGTTTTCTAACTTTTCATTCTTCATCCTCAGATCCTTCAAGGCCTTGTTGATGTTCGCATCCCTCATAACGGCTTCTACCGGAAGTGTAAGTAGCCCTGCTCCAGCTTGCAGCTTAGTGGCTGGCTTCCTTATAATTTGTAAACCTCTGTCCTTAGAGTGGTCTGAACCTGATCAAGCTCTAGCTGTTGTGGTACCTGTGTGACCCTGCATACATTCACTATGTGTTTCTTTCCTTACAAGTGTTTTTGGAAATCGTCAGCGAGAAATCCAGATACTCTCTGCATCAGAACATGGACAAGATCAAGGTCCCAACACAGATCATTTGGGGAAAACAAGACCAGGTATGTCACAGGGCCCTGTGGAAAAAAGCAAGCAGTGATCTGTAAAGTGGGCCTCCCTAGTGGGTTTCTTGTGTCACAGTTCTGTGAGCTGAGAACAATGACATTTGATTTTTATGCTCCACCATACTCTTTTCTGCCTACCCCACTTGAGGGTGCTGGAAACCTCAAGTTGATGAGACTAAAGTTCAGAAACAGCTTGAGCATTTGAGGTCTTTGCTTTTGCCCATAAAGGATAAAGAAAGGGGCCTTGTCTGGGAAGACCTACAGGTGACTTTGATTAGCCCTAGGGGCATGACTGCAAAACTACCTTCAAAGGAGAATATGGAGGGAAAAGTGATCCCACTAGGCATACTAGGGGGATAACTAAAATTAAAATAAAAGTGAATGGGTTGTTCAGTCCTGGGGAAGCTCTGGGGGTCCCTAAAGGTCTTCCATGGAGGTTCTCCCTGTAGCCTTCACCTCTTGTATTTTCTAATGGGGCTTTCCTACCCCTGGGCTTCCTACTCCAGCATCGAGCCAACTACTCAAATCATTCCCCTTAAGTCTCAGGTCTCCCGACTGTCCCAAGGCTGGTGTAGGGCTGGGAATGTGCAGGGGGTGATGCGTTCCACCTCGCATGCACAAGGCCATGGATTCAATCGCCCATGTGGAATAAGCATGGATGTGGTGGAAAGGCCAGAGTGTCAGAGGTAGAACCGGTCCACAGCAACACCATGGGGCATCGACATCTTTGTGTACTCTTTCTTTCCCTCTCTTCCACTGCAGGTGCTCGATGTGTCTGGGGCAGATATATTGGCCAAGTCCATTGCTAACTGCCAGGTAGAGCTTCTGGAAAATTGTGGCCACTCCGTGGTGATGGAGAGACCGAGGAAGACAGCCAAGCTCATTGTCGACTTCTTAGCTTCTGTGCACAGCACAGACAACAACAAGAAGCTGAACTGAGGCCCTTGCCACAGCCTGCATTGTTCACACAGCATCTGCTCCCATCCCCAAAACTTGATACAGTCACCACTCTCAGGGATCCTGCCCCAAATGCCATTGGAGGACCAGTGTCCCTGAGGAAGCCAACCTCCTATCCCAGTATGGTTCCACAGAGCATCAGGGGCCGCAAGGAAATCTCCAAGATCCTTTTTCAAAATAGAAACCTAAATGGAACTAAATTTAAAAAAAAAAAAAACAACAAAAAAAAACCCAGCCATGAAGCCTGCTAGAAGTCGTCAAGTGTATGTCACTGACAAGCCAAGGCAGTGCTAAGCAGCCACCCAGGATGATGACCATTAAGTACATTTTCTTTAAGGCATTCCTCACACATTAAACTTGAGCTATTTTTGTTGCTTCAGATGTATCCCTTGCATGGTCAGTGGCTTCCTGCATAGGAGCTTTAGTCATTTATTGAACCCTTGTTTAGATCTAAGCAAGTTTTGCATAGAGGCCCATGTGTCAATGCAGCCCATTAGCCACAAGACCAGGGAAGAAACAGGAAACTGTGGAAGAGCTTTCTGCCCCTAAGGCCTGATGCACAGACCTGGAATCTCAGCCACTTGGGAGGCTGAGGCAGGAGGATCTAAGTTCAAGGCTTGCCTGAGGTACAGAGTGAGTTCAAGGCCAGCCTGAGCTACTGACTGAGACAATTAAAAAAAAGAAAGAAAGACACGAAAAGAAAATGTTTCTACGTTTTTTTTTTTTTTTTACATGTAGAAACATACATGGAGGGGCATTTTTTGGCTTCAGCCAGCCCTCAGAACTGCCGAAGCAGCACAACACAGACTTATGGGTCTGGGTACCTACAAATCAGATATGAGTGACCAGAATGAAGACCATCTGACAGGGTGGGTTTCCTAGGAATAATTTATAATTTTTAAAAATAGGACTAATAAAGCAATAATGTTCTAGACCTCTATCTAATCAGACTGGAGCTCATGGGCATCTTTTCTATTCTGCTCTTCTACTGATAACCCTCTGATGTAAAATACTAGTTTGTTAATGAATTCTGTGAATTCTGTGAACAATAATGTGATTGAAAAAAGTAAGTCCAAACAGCTGTAAAAAGTGACCACAATGATGTAAAATAAATTGAATAAGTCTAGGCTGGCAACACGCACGTGCTTTCCATTTCTGAGCTCCTAATGGGATGCAATATTAATAGATTTTCTGTTCACTTAAAAATGTGTTTATTTGTGGGGTCATGTGAAGAGGCCAGAGGTTGACGGTTGATGGCAGGTATCTTCCTCAGTTAGTCCCCACCTCATTTTTAAGACAGGATCTCTCAGTGAGTCTGAAGCTAGCAAAGCCCCAGGCATCTTTCTCTCATTACCCGTCCAGCACTGGAATTGCAGGCACATGAGGCTGTGTCCCGTTTCTTATATGGGTGCAGGAAATCCGAACTTGGATTCTCAGACTTGCATGGTAATAACCCCTTACCAACTGAGCCATATCTCTGGACCCTAAAAAGATGTTTCTGTTATTTTATATTTACTGTGACTATGTGAATGTGTCTGTGTCTGTGTGGGCGTAAATGAAAGCAAGCGCAGGTGCTTGTGGAGGCCGGCAGCTGCTTGTGGAGACCGGCAGCTGCAAGCCCCTTGGAGCTGCAATTTCAGGATATGTGCTTTGCCTGTCATGGGTACTGGGATTCAAACCTGGGTCCTCTGCAAGAATAGTGTGTGCTGGTAACTGCTGAGCCATTACTCCATCATCCTGTGTGTTTTTTAAAGTAAGTGAAGTCATCTCTCAGAAGAAGAAGTCATCAATTTGTTCCCTTTTTCCTTTCCTTTTTGTTTTGTTTTTCTGGTTTTTGTTTGTTTGTTTTTTAACACAAGGTTTCTCTGTGTAACAAACAGTTCTGGCTGTCCTGGAACTCCCTTTGTAGACCAGGTTGGCTTCTATGAGTTCGAGGCCAGCCTGGTCTATAAAGCTAGTTCCAGGACAACCAGGGCTACACAGAGAAACCCTGTCTTGAAAAATCAAAAACAAAAGAAAAGGAAAAGAAAGACTGAAAATCAATAAATTAAGCTTCCACCTCCAGAAACTTGGAAAAAAAAAAACAACAGTAAATCAGCCAGTGGACCAAGGGGAGTAATGCAATTGAAAATAAAAGTCAACAGAATCTATTCTGTTTCTCAGAGAAAGTAGATAGTTGATGATTTTTCTTATTCCCATGAGTTCTGAGCTTCCTGTGAGGAGGGTGTCTCTGCACCTGGGTGATGAGAGATGGTTTCCCATGAATCTCTAGAGAGACTCTGGATCTGAGGGTCAGTTTCAGAACAGTAGCCTCTGGACACAGGAGTTCTTACTGGTGAGGATTGGAAGCTGGGTCTGTAAGCTATGTGTTCTGGTGTATACTCAGAATCCTACAACTTGGAGAGAGGTGGCAGGAAGATCGTGAGGCCACAGTAAGAGCGTCTCAAAGCACAGTGTCACCGGGGGAGGCATCTGCATTGTCATTCGGGCAGGGTGTGTGCAGTCCACCTCAGCATGGAAGAACAGGAGGCAGGTTCTGCAGTAGAACACGGCCCCCACTTCCTCCACTGTCAACAGAAAACCTTGAGAGAAGTCATGGACCAAGAATAAGAGAGTTTTTGATAAACACATCAAGTAGGTTTTCTGATGGCCCAGCCATGCTGGGAAGTCCCTTGTACCCTGTATCTTGCTCCAATAATTTTAAGAAGCCTGCTAATCACTGCCAGAGCTAGCTGCCTCCACACCAGATCCTGCTGGGCTCTGTGCCTTTGCCAAACCTTGGAAAGAAGAAAGGAATCATTCATCACGGCCCTTCCTGAAAGGCTGCCAGAAACTGCTGGACTAAAATGGAAAGCCCCAATAAACTCATTCCCTCTGCTCAGAGTTGGGACCATCAGAGTTGTAGCAGATTGCGCTTCCTGGACAACTACTGGAGACACCGAGGGACAGTGATCAGAATGCTTTGCCATCAGTCTGGGCTTCTCCGGGATTGGGGTGGCAGCAGGAATGACATTGGTACCAGGTGACACATGCCAGGTCAGTGGTGCTGCCTGTTCAAATCTGTGTCTTCCACTTGAGCTCCTGTGAGGTCCCTGTATCCCAGGGAGTCATACCTGCTGCTCTGCCCAGAAGACACTGCTGGGTGGGTGGGGGGAGAGTGTTGGAATACCTGCCTGGTGGGGCTGTAGGACTAAGGCCACTGTGTTTATCCAATCCCTTTTTTTTATCTCTTCTTTCTCCCAGTATGACCCATGTGCAGGAACAGGCAGTTACCTCCCAGCTCCGGTGTCACCCCAAAGTCACAGACTAGACTTCCTGGTCAGCCATCAGGGAGTTCAAAAGTAGAAGGCATTTTTTTTAAGATTTATTTATTTATTATGTATAAGTGTTTTGCTTGAATGTGTCCCTGCAGGCCAGAAGAAGGCACCAGATCTCATTACAGATGGTTGTGAGCCACCATGTGGATGCTGGGAACTGAACTCAGGACCTCTGGAAGAGCGGCCAGTGCTCCTAACCGCTGAGCCATCTCTCCAGCCCAGTAGAAGGCATTTGGAAGGGGGAGAAATGGACAGAGATGGGGCAATGGAGATAACCTCGAATTAGCTGCCGACACTGGAGCAGGGTGGGGTGGCGCAGTGCTTGGATTATTGTTTAAGAACCCCGCTGCCCTGGAGCTTTATGGTTCAGTACCATCCACGTTCTCGAGACTGGTATCAACCAGGGTGTGGGCCTGGCAGTTCCACGGCATGTGGTAGGAACAAGGGTCTTGACCATCACTGACCTGAGAGAGGTAGAGGCACCAGGCAGCTGGGCCATTCTTGCTGAGTCCAGGAAGGAATCACGCCTTTCTGAGTTTCGGAATCTTTGGTTCATAAGCCTCCAATGGGAACCTTGGGTTATGGGGCTCCATCAGGTGATAGGAATGAAGGATTCTGACAACCCTAGTGGCCCAAGGCCAAGGCTAGCTGCGGCATATACCTCTCACTGATTGCAACACAACCCTTGGAAGGTGACTGCCGAGACTACTGTGAACCTACTCCCACGGTTCCTCACCAAGGCTCGCAGATCTGAATGTGATTCAAGCCCAGACCCATCCCTATGTAAAAGGACCATGCACCTCATCTCATATAAGATCCCAGCTCCACGCATGACTCAATCGATGCATCCATGTTTCTGCTACCAGTGTAAATCGGATGAGATCTGAACAAACCTTCCCTTCGCGGTGGTACTGGGCGAGAAGACTGTGCTTCTGTTTTGCTTGCTTGTTTGTTTCTTAATTTCAGAGTCGCAGATAAAGAATGGGAGTCTGCTCTCCAGGTTCCCTCTTCTGTTGGGTGTAGGCGGTACACTGAGGAAGAGAATTTTCCAGCATGCGAAAGAAACAGCCTGCACATGGGTGTGTGCCACAGAAGCTGCTTCCTGAACATCAGTAGTCTGTCTAATATTTTTAAAGGAATATTTATTTTATGTGCATTGGTGTTATGTCTGCTTGTGTGTGTGAGGGTGTCAGAGCTTGGAGTTACAAACAACTGTTAGCTGTCATGTGGTTGCTGGGAAATGAATCCAGGTCCTCTGGATACGTACCAGTGCTCTTAACCACTGAACCATGTCTCCAGCCCCGTTCTATTATTTTAATTATTGATATTAATGATATCTGTCACTTTTATTTTCCCAATGCTAAGAAAGATACCTATGCCTCCTGCATGGCCCCACCCTCCCCCACCATTTTTTGGGAGGGATGTCTGTGTACTTGCATATACTACATACACATACCTATAATCAGAAAGGGCCTGCAGATGGTTTGGCGAATTTTTTTAAAAAAATAATAAATGGAGTTATGCTGGGAATTATTGTTCCCCCTACCCACCTGCCTCTCTTACCGCTATCCTCAGGACTCTTCTAGAGTTCCAGGATTCTGTAAGGAGAATGCAGAGTTCTCCTGAAAAAAGTGTAGAATGCCCAAGTACCCTTGAGAAAGTATTTTTGAAATTTTAAGAAATGATCTAGCTAAGCACAGCAGCAAAAGCCCACTATTTCAGCTATTTCAGAGGATGGCAAGTTGGAGGCCAGCCTCGACAACTTAGGAAATCCCATCCCAGAACAGAGTTAAGAAGAGCCAAGGATGGGGCTGGATGGCAGAAGGCCAGTCCTGTGAGGCTCTGGAAGAGAGGAGGGGGATCCCCCAGGTGAACATGTGAACATCCCTGGCTTTTACCTGAGGGGATCAGAACTCAGATTGTCTCCCACTGAACTATCTCTGTCTAAACTTCACAGATTCATCAAGACACAATTTCTCTGTGTAGCCCTGGCTGTCCTGGATCTCACTCTATAGACCAAGCCGGCCTCAAACTCACAGAGATCCACCTGCCTCTGTCTCTGCCTCTGCCTCCTGACTGCTGAGATTAAAGGTGTGCGCCACCACTACCCAACCCACAAATTCTTTTTTTGTTGGTTGGCTTTGGTTTTTAGTTTGGGATAGGGAGGTGAGACAGGGTGAGCCATGTAGCCCAGGCTGGCCTCAAAGTCTCCATGCTCCGGGCTCAGCCGTATGAGTGCTCAGCTCTTAGGCATGTACCACCATGTGGTGATGCCTTATTTTCATTTGCTGCAGATGGAAGCCAGTGGCCAAGGAGAAGGAAGGCTCAGTCTTCCTTTGGGATTGCCTTAAAGATTGCAAGTCCTTAATACTCCAGAGCTCCCCGTGTGGTGCAGCTGCAGCCAGACTTTAGCTGAACTCACCCCCTTACTTTCTGCCTGCCGATCCCTGCAGGTGTTTCAGTTCTTGATTGGAGATGATCCCCAGGGTGTCCTTGAAGGAGCAGCTCCTTGCGGAAGGGATAAAATCCAGCTGGAGCCTTCTGTTGCATCTTCTTCACTGTCACAATGATAATGCCACCAGCGGCATTTCAGTGTCACTGTACGATACAGATGGCATACTGTGAGCCAGCTCTCTGGCACTTGGTGGATCTCCTTAAAATGAAGCAGTTAAAAGCTTTTAGCTTCTGATCGTTTTGACCGTTGTCCTATCTTCAAAGAATCTGCTGACACAGGTCATGATTCCCATTGCATGGATGGACAATTGTGGCATAGATTTCCCCTTGGGTACTGTAGAAAATCTAGTTGATA